TTTTTTTTTTTCTTTCCCACAGATGGCAGCAACTAGAAGGCCTAGTAGTTTGCAATGAACCCACCTGTTACATGGTTTCTTAGTGTGGATGTGTTGAGAGCAAGTGTGGTTTGTGCTTGCCATGACTGACATCAAATCCAACCTAAGATTTCAGGTGGTCTTAACTTTGTCTAACTGTTTTACATGTTATTTTGAAAGGGAGTGTGTAGGTACTAGGTAGTGGAGATCATGTCAAGATAAAATATATGTATTCCCAAGTTGTAACTGAATGTTTCCTACATAATGTACACTGTGATGACTTGCATCCATTTTTTGTTTTTTTTTAATTGTGTGGGGTTATTACCAAAGCAGTTGGTACTTGTGATTAGATGTATAGATATTGTAGGATAAGGAAAGAAGGTTTCATCTGCTCATTAGCTTGGTATACACTTTCCTCTTTGCCCTTTTACTTCTGTCTTTTATTGGGGTTGTGAATTTGGAAGTTTTTGTACCATGTTATATATTATAAGTTCTACTTGTGAAGTTGTGGTTTGTACATTAGTGTAAACAGTGCTCAGGGGTGCATTCGTATTTATTAGGTATTATAACATTTTTTATTTCTCATATACTGTAATTGGGAGATTTTAGTTTATTGCGTTTTAATTGCGGAGATGGAGTCCTTCATGTACTAGATTAGTTGGATTTTGGTCTTATATTAAATATTTATATTGTGATTTATGGTTAGGTTAGATAATGATGTGGCAGTTAAATGTTGCTTAATTACATTTTTTGAATTGCATTTTTTTTGTGCAATTAAGTCACCTCAGCATATTTTAGAATTTTACTGATTTTATAATATTAATCACACTTTTTTTCCCCATAATATCTTCAAAAATAATAATAGAGTTAAAAAATAAAAGTATAAAAGGGATAATTTAACTAATATGAAAGTTTAGAGATATACTAAGAAGTTATATGATAATTATTGTAAAATTTAAAATAATAATTATGTTTTTCAAATATGGTGGCAAGATTTTAAACGTGAAATAAAATGAGATTGGAGTAGTTTTTAAGTGCACTTTTGCTCTCAAGAAGCACTTTTAGAAATTTAACTTCGGTAATTTTTGGAGTAAACAAGTTCCTTTAACTTTTAAGTTCAATTTATTTAGTATGAAATTTTATACAAACTTATTTAAAGAGTTTGACAAATTAATTGAAATAGTTTGTAGCTTATATGTTCTTAATTTTTATTTTATTTTTTATCTTCATTAATTTATTTGAAATTCATTGTTATCTTTCATATATATATATATATATATATATATATATATATAT